TTCACCACCCATTTATCCCTCCGCCTTTCAACCAGCCCCACATGTGATTATCGGCCAGGCTGGCACAATTAACTAACTCAGCAGCCCAACACGAACGCCGCCACGTCAACAGAACACCTGCCTACAGGAGGCCATGGGTCCAACAGTCGACGAGCAGGGAGTTTCAGCAGAGAGTTGTAGATCCACTGCTGCCCGTCAGCCGGGCGAATGAAAACTGGGTTTTCTTGCGATCAGTAGCTGATGTTGTTGTCCGGTTGGACCCACAGCGACCCTACGCTCAACGGAACGAAACAGCACCCAGTTCTGCACCCTCCTCTCGGTCGCTGTCCTGTCTGAGCTCACTGTGGCGGCCACCGAGTCAGTTCACCTGGCGGGGATACACGAATGGGAAAGAACACATTTCTGCAAGAGCAGTTGATAATCACCTGGGGGTCACCCCTCTGACAGGGTCACCCGGAGGGGGAGAGGTCTGCCCCTCCTTCCACCTCCCTGGTGACACCACTTCGGATGGAGCTGTTCCCATGAATCTGGCTTCCCTGCCCCGGGAACATCTTGTCTTAAAGTAATTATTGTTAGCTCCGAAACCCAAAGTTATTCATGGTGACTAGGGGGAGAGAGGGAGGGGGCAGGGGAAGATGCTGCTTCGGGGGCAGTGATATCTGTGAAAAGTGGTGTCACGTTTGGGGGACAGGGCAGGGAGACAGCTGGTTAGGATGTGAGAAAGATGTCACAGACGCCCCTGAAGTGTCGCAGTGGCAGCTCCCCTGTGGGCGAATGTTGGGGTGTCCAGATAGTCACCGCAATGCAAACAGAGGACCAAACTCCGTCAGCGGGGGCGAAGGACCTCACGGAGGCCCGACACTGGGGTTGAAAGGTCACGGAACAATTTGGGTAGCAACCAGAACGCTTCCTCCAGAACACAATGCAATGCTGCTGAGGTGGAAATACAATGGATTTCGAGCTATTCCAAATATGATCTGAGGTTTTGACTGCCGGTTTTCCTGTGCTGGAGTGCCCTGGGGGGCCGTGGTGAGGCATTTCACTGCTGACCCAAAGAAAGCGAGGGTGGTGGTTCGAACCCACCCAATGGAGCAGTTCTCCTCTGTGACTCCAGGTCGGTGAGAGGGCACAGCACTCTAATCGCCATTTGAGTGAGAGAAAGGGACTCCCTCTCGTGTGCTCGGACTTCCCCCATGCCCACCTCCGCCCCCCTTCACTGGGCCTTCTGTTAGGTTTTGGGACGTTTTTACCTGGGTTCCTGCTTCACAGCACTGGAAGGATTCCCTCGGCAGAAGCACTTTGGTAACCCAAGTCACTTGTTGGAGGGAAAGGGAAGTTTCAGGTACTCCGGTCTCAGAAAGG